TGAAGAAGTTGGAAATAAAAGAGAACGAACTAGGAAATTTTTGTGATTTCATAGTTAAACTCTTTTTTTGTTGAATTTTTGTTTACTTAAGGAAAAAAGTTTGTGTTTTTTTTGCGATTGGAAAAGTTTAGCACCAATTTTTTTTCTTGTTTGAAAATTTTGTTTTGATAAATAATATTAAAATACCAAGTGGTTTCATTTTGATTCAAGTTTCTTTAACATTGTTGGCTGGCTATCTTTTCTAAAACAAAATATATTATCTTCAAATTTTTTATTGTTTTAATTTCTTTTTTTTTTAATTTCAATAAAAAATGGGCAAAACAATTGCATTCTTTGTTTTGCTTCCTTTTATTTTTCTTCAAGGAATTATCACATTTTTTGTTTGGTTTTGTTGGTTGCATCTACTATTGTGAAAGGGGACAGACAGAGATAGAGATTAACATACGATACGATATTTGTTGGTTAAAAAAATCTATGAACTTTTGTTTTGTTTTTGCTTTTAAATTCAGTCTTTTCTTTTGTGAGAATTAGAAAAAACCTCAACAAATTCATATATAATAATAGCCATTTCTTGTTTCCATTACTATAATATTATATAAATAAACATTTTTAAAGTTATTCTTGGTTGTTTTTTTCTTTCGTTTTGTAATATTATGGAAAGAGTGTGTTTTTTCATGTATGTTGTGGTAAAAATAAATAGTAATTAGTATTTCCATAGAAGTTAGTAAAACAAAACAAAAAATTATGAAAAAAAAACAAATAATATTATTAAAAAGAGAATGTGCCTCATATCATCCATAAAAATGTAGTTTCGTTTAGCTTCTTTTGTTTGCTTGTTTTTTAAACCTATATCACATCACATATATATTTTTCAGTTTTATTTTTATTTAAAACGAAAAAAAAAATAACTTTTTCTTTTTTACTTTTTGTGAACATAGTTCACACAACACAACATTTCAACTTGATTTGTTTGGTTGATTTGTATTTTGTTGTTCTTCTTCTTCTTTTTCGTTTATTGTTGTTGTATTTTGTAATAAATGCAAAAATATTGTTTATACTTTGTTGCTGTTTTTTTATTATTATTTTTTGTTCCTCTTTCTTTTTGTTTACGGATTTTTCCCTTATTGTTGAAAGATCAAAGTTCCAACAAAATAAAACAAGATTTCACAGCATTTTTCTTTTTGTTTTATAGCAATATTAGAGAGTGAATATAAGTAACTAATTAAAAAATAATAATATAGTAATAATAGTAATTAAAAATATGAGATCCTTTGTTCATTTGTTTGTTGTGGTTTTTAGAGGTTTCTTAACACATCATCACAGAGAGAGAAAAAAAAGAGTTTTCCGAAAGGAAAATCAAAATTCTTTTCTTATTTTGATTTTCTTTGAAAACTCCTTCGATTCGATTTTAATTAAAAACATTAGTTATGACTTGAGTTGTTTCTTAAACAACAAAAACAAATTTTTGTTTTTGTTTGCTTCATTTTTTCGGTCAAAAGGAATTTTTAATTTCAAATAACTTTTTTTTGTTATATATTTATCAAATTGTATTCTTTTGGTTCGTATCTTGTATGTTTATTGTTTGTGGCAACAATATATTATTTAATATTAAATAATATAGCCGATTTGTTTTTTTTTTTTGGGGTTAGTAATGTTACGAAAACAAAAAAAAAAAGTTAAAAATTTTATTTTTATTTTGCGCGCTTTTGCTTTTAATAATTTTCTTCTGTCTTTGTTCTTTGTTATCATTTATATGTTTTCATTTAAAAAACACAACACACATCAAAAGGATTCTTATTTTTTTATTTTTGTTGTAACCATTTTTTAGTCGTTATTAAAAAAATATATAAAGTTTATTTTTTATTTAAACGTCGTTTCTTTCCAAAAACTATGTGTGTAGTATAGAGTGTGTTTGGTAGAGATTTTCATAAGTTTCTTTTCACATCCACCTGGTAGATAGACATTATTTTCATTACTGGTCAGCGGATCGAAAATGCATTATTGAATTGTTATAAAAATTTTTAATTCTTTTCTTTAACAAATTGAAATTAGATTTTTTATAAAAAAAAAGAAATTAGATTTTTTATAAAAAAATTGATTTTTTTTTAAATAAATAAATTTTAAATTATTTTTAAAAAAAAACAATTGTTTTTTTAATTAATTTTTATAAAAAATTAATTTTTATTTTTATAAAAAATTAATTTTTATTCTTATAAAAAAATTATTATGAAGCATTTTGTATTAAAAAATTGATTTTTAAAAAAATTCATTTTTTATAATAAAAATTATTTTTTTTTTTACAAAAAATATAAAATAATACAAAATTTTAATTAATTTTTTTTTTAAATAAAATTTTTAATTTTTTATAAAAAATCAAATTTTTAATTTTTTTTCAAATTTTTTTTTTATAAAAAATCAAATTTTTAATTTTTTATAAAAAATCAAATTTTAATTTTTTTAAAAAATCAAATTTTTAATTTAAAAAAATCAAAATTTTAATTTAAAAATTCAATTTTTAAAAAAAAATCAAAATTTTAATTTAAAAATCCAATTTTTAATTAAAAAATCAAATTTTTAATTTCTTATGAAAAATTAATTTTTTTTTTTATAAAATAATCAAAATTTTAATTTTTTATAAAAAATCTATTTTTTATTTTTTTTTAAAAAAATAAAATTTTTAATTTTTTATAAAAAAGCAAATTTTTATTTTTTTTTTATAAAATTTTTATTTTTTTAAAAAAAACAAATTTTTTATTAAAAAAAATCAATTTTTTATAAAAAATCTATTTTTATTGATTTCTTTTTATAAAAAAAAAATAAATTTTGTAATTTTTATTTTTTTTTAAAATCATTATTTTTAAAAAAAAAAACAGAAAATCAAGAAAAAAAAACAGAAAATCAAGATTTTAAAATATGTTTTCTGCCGACCAGCGAGAAATTCATCTCCTTGGTATGATGTTTTTCCTTAAAAAAAATCAGATAAAATCTCTTTGTTTTATTTTATATATTTGTATGGATGAATGTGGCGCATTTTTTGTGTTGGTTTGGTTATTATATATCATATTTAAAATTTCAATTTCTCATAGTTAATTATCATCATTAAATGAATTCGAATTTGTTTTTCTTAGTAGGTATTTGAAAAATTTAATGATGATTAATTTTTTGTTGTTGTTGTTGTTCTTTTTGTATTATTTCTACTTTCAAGTCGTCGTCCAAGGCATTTAATTTATCAAAGAAAGAAAAAAATTAAATATTAAAAAAATTATTTTTTTCTTTTGTTCTCTCTTGGAGAGAATATAAAAATATTAAATGTCCTTAATAAAAGGCGACGATGCGGTGGACGAGGCGGCGGCTTTGGCAAGTATAAATTTACATTTGTTTTTAATTACAGTTTGTGTTTTACTTGTTTTCAACAAGAAATTGCTTTCACAGAGAATAAGTAAGTAATAAAAAAATAAGGGGGGGATTAAAAATGTTACGAAAAATTAACAAATTTCTAAATAAAAATAAAATCATAGAAATTTGTTTCTTTGTTTTTTTTTTACTTTTTCCATTGGAATTAAATACATTGAAAACAAACTCTTGCTTGGTAGCTATTCATTAAAAAAAAAAAATCAAATTTTGTTGTTTGTTGCTCATTAATTTCTTTTTTAAATTAAACTAATAATGTTGATTTAATTTTTAGTTTTGTTTTCTTTTGGTTGGTTATTTGTTTGTTCGTTTCTTTCTTTCATTAAAGTTATTATCAAATTTGTTTTGAAATACTTTTTGTGTTGTTTGTTTTTTTTTTGGAAACATTCTTTGTTGTTACTCATTGTAAATTTACAAAAAAAGTGAATATTATTGTAAATAAGAAACTAAAATTAATATATAGTATGTATACTTATAAACGTTCTAATAAAGGAAAAAAATTAAATATGACAATTATGAAATTCTCATTTTTCAAAAAACAAAAATAATCCAATTTTCCAAAAAAAAAAAATATATTTTTTATGATTTGTTGATTGTTGATGTTGGCTTGTTGATGTTTTGTTGTCTTAAAAAAATAACTTGTATTACTATGGTTAATAATCATCATTTATCATTCATAATTCTAAATATATAGTGATATATATAATATAAATCAATATTTGAAATGTCTCTGGGGCTTCGTTCTCCATTTCACAAAGGCGGCGGCGGCGGCCCTACTTCTTTCTACTTGTGTTTTTATTTTTCTGTCTAAATATGGGGAAACGAAGCTCAGCTTGTTCAAAATTTTACAAAAATGGTTTAAAATAAATTTTTAAAATTTATTTAAGAAACAAGTACAGAAGAGTGCCTCCCTCCTGTGCCTGCCATTTTGTGTTAATGGCCAAAAGTAGAGACATGTCAAAATATTTCATTTAGATTTTGTTTGAATAAAAAATTATGTGTTTTTGTTTTTTGGTGGAAATGTTGATTTGTTTCTTTCTTAATTATTTTGAAATAAAAGGAGTTCGTCGTTTGTTTGTTTTTGATTTTTGTATAATCTTAGATGACCAGCATCTAATAGAGAAGATGTTGTTGTCTGCTATATAAAATGCTGTGTCCTTAAATTGATTATCAAAATTTCCCGTTTATTTTGGAAAATTGACTCCTTTGGCTTTTGCTTTAAATTACGTTATCGACAAAAAATCATCGTTTCTTGATTCTTAACGATTTTTTGTTCCGTTTTTGGAGAAAAAGAAATCATCATTTTTTCTTGTGTGTTGTTTTTTTCCTTTAGTAGCATTATTGTGATTAATTGATATTTTTATGTTAATATTTAATTATTTTTAGATAATTCATAATGTTTTTTGCTTTTGTTTTTTTTCAGTAGTAGTAGTAATATTTTTTTAATTGAAAAGAAGTGGACTTATATTACCGTAGATTGGTTGGTGATGTTGTTAAGAGAAATTGAAAATGTTTGTTTTGTTAAAAAAGATTCTCTTTTGGTTTCAACAACATCGACCACCACCCACCCACCTTTTCCCGTTCACAACTTACTGTTGCTGGGCAATAATTTCCGGTGTAGCAGCTCCATTGCCATTGGCTGTGGCTGCCGCAAACTGATGCGGATGAGCATAGTAGGCTGTGGCTGGTGGTCCATATTGACCAGCATAAGGATTGCCGGCAGCAGCAGCGGCCGCAGCCAACATACCACTGGCATCATACATATAAGCACCGGCGGTTGCTGGTGGCGACTGAGCTGGTGCAGCATATAAAGCGCCGGCAGGTGGTGTCGACACATTGCTAGGATACTCGACTTGACCACCAGCGGCTGCCACGGCTGCAGCAATATTATTCATCTGTTGTTGCTGTTGTTGGGCGGCTGCTGCTGCCATAGCTGCGGCATTATCATTTTGTCCCTGCTGATTGTTATCCATCATTTGACCGTTTTGCTGCTGTTGTTGTTTATTATATGGACCAGCAGCACCATTCATTTGCTGTTGCTGCTGATAGTCACGTTTCTGGTATTGTTGCTGCTGCTGTTGGAATCGGGGGGCATTGCCATTTGGCGGCATATATTGGCCACGTGGACGATATTGTTGTTGTGGAATATAACCATTGGCTCCCTGCTGCATGTGGGGTGGCATATGAGGATGCATAAAGCCTCCCATTACTGGACGCGGTCCAGCACCATTGGGGGCATTAAACGGTGCCCTTGGACGATAAGTTCTATTAGCTTGATCTTGACCACCATTGGCTGCATTATTATACTGGCCATTAGAACGATTATTCCAATTGCCCATAGCGCCAGCGGCACCATTTTTAGGTGCTCCACCACCATTTTGATAACTGTTGCCACCATATTGTTGGTAACTGGGTTTGCCATAGCCATTGGCGGCATTTCCATTTGCCTGATAATTCAAGGGATTATTACGTTGTTGTTGTTGTTGTTGATTGCCACCGCCATTTTGATTCCAACGTCTATTGTTGTTATTGCGTCCATTGCCATTACCACCACCCATTGAACGGGCCATTTCAACTAAAGCTGGATTTGGCTGTTGGCCAGCTTCTTCCAAAACCGATAATAATTCTCTGGCCTGTTTGGCATTGTCGGGTGTAAAGAATGTATAGGCTGTGCCCAATTGTTGGCAACGTCCCGTACGGCCAATACGATGTACATAATTCTCCGATGAATTGGGATAATCATAATTGATGACATACTGCAAATCTTCAACATCCAAACCACGCGAAGCTACATCAGTGGCAATTAAAATATTCGACTTACCATTGCGGAAATCTTTCAAGGTTGAATCACGTTCGGCTTGAGATTTATCGCCGTGTATGGAGGTGGCTGTATAGCCTTCATTGCGAATGATTTGTAAGATTTCTTCAACCTAGAAGGAACAAAATTGTATTTTTTATAAATAATTTTTTTTAATAAATTTTTATAAAAATAATTTATTTTTTTTTTATAAAAAAATTTTTATTTTTTATAAAAATATTTATTTTTATTTTTTATAAAAACATTTATTTTTCATAAAAAATAAATTATTATTTTTCATAAAAATATATTTTTATTCTTTTGATACAAATAAAAATTAATTTATTTTTAAATTTTTTATGAAAGCAAAATTTACAAAAAAGAAATTTGTATTTGTTTTTATTAAATAAAAGTATATACTTATTATATTAATATTTATATTTTATAATAAAAATGCCTTTAAAAATAAGCGTATTCTTCTACTCACCTTAATTTTCGTTTCCACAAAAATAATAATTTTATTGCTATTGTTAGCCGCATTATTTGTGGTTGGCAATATTTCATTCAACAGCTTGACAACGCGTTGTGGCTTTTCGTTTTCCTGGCATACCTCGACAATTTGACGGATGTTATGATTCGCCGAAAGATTCATTGAACCAATATTAATTTGTATGTAATCGTTGAGGAAATCACCAGCCAAGGCTTGCACCTCTTTGGGCCATGTGGCAGACCACATAACAACTTGACGATCGGGACGAATTTGTTCAATAATTTTACGAATTTGAGGCTCAAAACCCATATCCAACATACGATCAGCTTCATCCAATACCAAATAGGTACAACGTTGTAAATTTGTGTTACGATTTTCAAGGAAATCAATGAGACGACCAGGTGTGGCAATAATCACTTCAACGCCACGATCCAAATCGCGGGCCTGTGGTACTTTAGAGGAGCCACCAAAGATGCAAGTGTGACGGATTTCGGGTTTGCACAAATGACCAAAGTCACGTACCACCGACTGAATCTGTTGGGCCAATTCACGTGTGGGTGCCAATACCAAGGCGATGGGTCCTTCGCCACGTTGCAATGGCGGTTGATTGGCAATGTGTACCATAGCTGGCAACATATAGGCCAATGTCTTGCCCGATCCGGTCTGGGCAATACCAACCAAATCACGTCCAGATAGAGCAATTGGCCAACCTTGAGCCTGAATTGCTGTTGGTTTGGTGAAACCTTGACGTTTCATTTCCTCAATGGTGTATTCGGGCAGAGTGCACTCTTCGAATGAAGCAATTGGATGTGGAATGTCATTACCCGACACGGTAATCTGTAATTCAGCACGCATCTCAGCAACTTGCTGTTCGCTCATGTTCAAGGTGTTCTGATGGGGATTATAGAAATTCTTTTTGAATGGTTGCAAATTTTGCCACTCCGGTGTGGAGAGAGTACGTCCGGGATTTTTGGCTTTTTCACGCTGCAATTCAGCACGTTCTTCCTTTGACAAATTAGCCATGTTAATTGAGGGCTTGTAGGGGTTATTGCCCTGATAGCCTCCACCGTTTTGTGGCTTTTGATGACGTGGTACAAAATTGGGATTTTTGGCACGTGGTTGAAAGCCTCCGCCGTTGGCATTGTTGTAGAAACCGCCATTGGCCAGCATGGGGTTAAAATTGTTGCCACGATAACCACCACCATAAGCGCCAACATTTTGTGGTGCACCACCATAGCCTCCAGTCATATTGTTGCCATAACCACCGCTCATGCCACCACCGACGGCAGCTCCATTAGCCATGCCGTTGGCATTACGTTGCTGATAATGGGGACGATCTGTACGTGGTGGTCCACCGGCATTACCGTTGCCATAGGTTTGAGTTGGTGCACCGGCACCGACACCAGGGGCAGTTGCTGTATAACCGTTTGGATACATTTTCTTCTTCTTCTTTTCGATTTATATCAATTTATGGATAATTGAAAAATACGAGAGATAATAGCGTTTGTTGTTGGTTTTTTATTTATCTTCAATTGGGATATATTAGGATAGTAATTCCTGTAGACCAAAAAAGAATAGAAAACAAATATATTTTTAAATTTATTAAAAGGATTTTTATGAGTTTTTTAAATAGTTCTATTTCATAATAAAAATATGTAAATATATACCCAATCTCCCAACAGCAATAATCTTAACTTTTAATGAAGAACTAACATTCTTGAAATCCTAAGTGAGCCCTAGTAACCAATAATTCTACTTCCCATAGCAATTTCTACAAAGCTGGTGCAGATTCTCATAGTACATCTGGACGGAAGAAAATCCAGTGGAAGAGAAACTTCGTGTAAGAATCATAACAAGTCATAAGGAAATGTTGGAAACGATAGAAATCCTTTAATTCAACAGTAGTTTAGCGTGATCACGTCTATTCAGATTATAAGCATAACGGACTACTGAGTTAATTAGTCGCTTCAACATATGCAAATTCGAAGATAAAGTCCCAGAAATGACCTCCAGACCATGTCGTGTCGTAGGCATTAGTATACCATAAGCCAATCTCTGTTTCAACCGCAAAGGAATATGCACATAGAATAAATTCTACGTAAGGTAGAGTAAATTCTGGAATAAACTAAGTTTTGATACCGGTTCACCAAAGAATCATAGGCAACGAGATATCGAATCAACTAGCCAGGAGTGCTACTGCACTACCCACAATAGATGTGAATACCGCCAAAACCTTTAGCGAAACACGCAAAAAAAAAATGAGGGAATGGGCGAATGAGACCCACAAAACCCTTTCGGGCGACCCAAGTGAAGACAAAACTAAGCAAATCCTAACGCTAAACAAAAAAGAAATAAGCCGACTGACAAGTATTCTGACACCTCAACCCTCAAGATTGGATGCGAAGGTAGCAGCATGTGCAGAGCGTGTGGGGAAGACAGTGAAACGCTGGAACATTTCCTGTGGTATTACCCAGCATTTACATGTCTTCGGAGACAATTCTTGGGACATGACAATGACACTCTTCACGGACTAACCGATCTGAGGTGGTGTGAATGGAGAAGATTGAAGGAGTTCGCAAAAACTCGGAATTCCTAGATTCATAGAGTAATCAAACCCAAATGTTTTTAAAATAAACTTTCACTAATTCTTGACTTTCTCCGCATTTCTAGAGCGCACAACAGGCCTCAATTGGCTTATGTGTATGTCCATCTCATGTTGGACATGTGGTGGTATCATCTTTTCAACCTAACCTAAGTTTCGATATTGTTAACGCCAAGGTTGACTGAGCTGGTCACCCTATTTTCTATTTCCAAATTTTCTTTCTCTTCACCTACATCTGAATCTCTCTCATGGTACTAAATGCAAATATTTTCTGTTTTCACTGTGTGTTCCTTTTTTTCTCATTTGTAAATAAAATCGCTTCGGCCCTGTTCCAAATTCACTATTGTTCATTCCTCTTCCAAAATACCTTGTTTTTTATTTCTTTAGATTTTTTATTATTCCTGCGTACAAGAATAGTTTTTACTCATTCCGGCAACAACTAACCCTACCAGCACTTCCAATTTTAAGTTTTATTGCAGGGTATAAAATGCAAGAGACAAATTCAAGTGATCCAGCGGAACTTTGGAGACTCATTTTTTTGGAAATATAAATTTCCACGCGAAAACATTTATATCGTTGAAATGCAGCTTATGGTAGAAATTTCGAATTCGATTCGCGATCGAGCCTTACACTAGACTTAAGTCATATTTTTTATACACTATGACCCTATATCTTTGCAGATATTTTGGCATGTTTGATTTTTACGATACTTCAAAATCGACTCAACTTCAGGTGATTTATCAAATCGATGGTATTGTTGTACCATGTGTCTGGGTCAATATTTTATTTTCTTTTTGTTTAATGAATTGTGATTACCAGATGCGAACACAACGCGAAGAGAGATTTCCCGAAGACCATCATTCGGCTTATTTTCACAACACTACCTAAGAATTTCATAATCACTGTTTTATAGAATTGAAACTCACTTTGGACTTATAAAAAAAGAAAACTAAAAGCTATCAAATTTCTTTACCTTATTTTTTTATAATGAAAAAAATTGAAAACAGCAACACAAGTTTTGTTGAATAAAATATACACATGCGGTCGGTTACAAGAAAATGTATGAAGGTTCACAACGTATTCAATGACATACAAATGCATATATATGTACTCCTGTAGTAGTCACCACCCTCCTTTCCAAACAACCCCTATATTATTTAGAATACAGTGGATTTGTACTCGGGTTTAATGGATTTCGGTATAGAAAGAAATAATAATAGAAGATACAAGAAGACCGACCGACCACCATGGGGAGAAAATACAACAACGACAACATCACACAATTGCAACAGCAAAGCCCCATTGTGATAATGGTTGGCTGGCAACCCTATAACTACACAGCAGCACATACATACAATGATACAAAAAAACTATACATTTTATGGATAAGTAAATCAAATAAAGAAAAAAAAACGAGAAACGAGGAAAATAATACGAAACAAATGGCTTCTTTTGCAACTTACCTAATGTATTTTATTTTTTTTTTTTTTTTGTTCCACAAAAACTCGTTTTAGAAAACTGAGTTTTTTACTTATTAGAATACTTGGGTTTTTTTCTTTAACTTCTAATAATTGCGAAAAGTTATAATTTTGTATGTATAACTTTTTTCTATAATATTATAACCAAAGCCGCCGCCTCGCTTTCTTTTTTTTTGTAATTTGTAGTTCTTCTCTTTGTGACGATGAAAAATCAATTTTTTTCTTACGTGATGATTTTTTCGTCGTCTGCTTTTTTTCTGTATGTCGTGTGTGTTTAAAGGTAAAAAGACTTTTTTTACTTTTATATGCACGTTCTTCGTTTAGTTAAATATTTTTTATGAATATTTAATTATTAATGCTACTATTTACTCTACTGTATTTAAATAAATTATTTTATTTCTAATTTATTTAAATTAAAAAATAATTTGTAGCAAAAAAGCGAGGAACGACGACGTTGGCTTTTTAATACAAAAACCAACCAAATGAAAACGACGAAGGTCTAGTCTTCGTTGTAGTTTCGTGAAGCGTTGTAAGAGACCGAAGTCGTTCTGGATGTTGTATGGCAACGGCGTTCAAGTAACATTGATGATTAGTGGAGGGCGTAATGTAGTTACAAAAAGAGTAAATGTGTATGTAATGTTTGGAAAAGTATAAAAAGTATTTGAAAAATTATTAATATTCCTATCTCGATTTTGAAAAGAAAACCTAACATTCCAGTCATTTTTGGTGTGTTTTTAGTAAAATGTTAAAAATATGTCTAATGTGCAGAATGACTTGTTGCATATGTTTTTATTCAGACATAACAAGCCACAAGATAGAGGTGTATTTTTTTTTGCAATAATCTACTACTTTTTACTACGATTACGAATTTTCCTTTATGATATCGAATAATAGTAACATGGAACAGGTTTTAAAGATGTATGATAATTATACTCACCTCCACACCACATTTATTCATTAAACTCCTTGTACATTAGCACTTTTTACCGGGGTAACCAACTTTATGAGGATTTATTTGACTTATATGCAAAGGAAATGACAATTGAAACCCACAGGGTTAAACGAAATCCGGTTAAATGTAAACGTACTGTTACGAACCAGTAAGGAAAGTAGTAAAGTCGGACTGGGCCGACTATATTATACCGTTCACTACTTTGGGTATATTCTACATATGCATCCTAATAGTACGTTTATATTGTACCGGATTTAGTTAACCCAGTGGGTTTCAATTGTCAATTCCATTGCCTATTTGTCAAATAAATCCTCATAAAGTGGGTTAACCCTGCAAAAAGTTCTAATGTACATGCCGAGGAACATTGACATTCTGCAACCTATGCTAAATTTCATTTTATGCATGCAATGGGACAAATTTATGTAAATCGATTTATAGCAAACTCCATACACGAGATATAAATGGAAGCTATTTCTGTATCTGCACCCATTCCGAACAAAAACCAGTATGAAAAGTTCAAATGTCGGACGGGGCCGACTATATGATACCCATCACCACTTTGGGTACATACAAGAGATGCTAATATATACAATATCTTGTAGATAGAACAGACATATCATCTTTAGAGGACCTTTGTATAGAATCGGCCGAAATTAAGTGTATGATCATTCAGAAATCTATGAAAATTTCCATGTCAATCGGAGAGAGATAGATCCTTTGGTGTACCATTTGTATGAAGCTGAGCAATGTAATGTATGTATGTAAACTTGGACCTAATTGATCTCTTTTTTTATCTTTATATAAATCAGAAGCGATTTTTGCAACTTTAGTGCATATCACTCTAAACTCACCTCTTGCAAATTTCGTGTAAATCGTTCAAACATACCCTTTTCGGTTCCACGACAGAGGGGTCAACGATCCGAAACGACCCGAGTCTTACTCGGCCAACGTCTATCACTTCAGACCATTGTGTAAAAGCAATAGGGCAACAACCCTTTCCGGTGCACCATTTACATGAAATCGGACGAAGCTATATATGGGAGCTATATCTTAATCTGAACCGAGTTCTACAAAACTTCATAGACATTAAAGTGGACTTAATTAAGTATCCTCTGCAAAATGTTGTCCGAATCGGACAAATATTGGGACTATGGTACACCATTTTTGTAAAATCGGACGAAACTATATTAGAACCGATTTCCGCAAAACTTTGCATACATCCATGTGGACCTTTTGCAGTGCTCTGTGCAAAATTCTGTGTTAATATTGGGATTTTGTTGCACCATTTACATAAAATCGGATGAAACTATATATGGGAGCTATATCTAAATCTGAACGGATTTTCACAGAAAATAGAACACAACAATACGGACCTATTTCAGTACGCTGTGCAAAATTTTTATCAATCGGATAAATATTGGTTGTTTGATGTATCATTTAGATTAAATCGAATGAAAATATATATGATGGTAGCTATATTTAAATCTGAAACGATTTTCTCCAATTTCAATAGGGCTCGTCCTTAGGCCAAATGCTTGCGACTTGTGCTAAATTTTATGCAAATCAGATCATAAATGCGACCTGCACTTTGTTCACAACAAAACATGGACAGACAGAAGAACGGACAAAGAGACATGCATAAATCCTTTTTGAGAATATGCATATTTGTTGAAATTCCGATAGATATAGGAATATATAAGATGAAGCTTTTGAAATACTCCCAGGATGCTTGAAATATCGGACCACATATTGGTGTATCCCCTTATATATCAACACATCACAATACTCGGTTTTCTACCCGATTTGTTATTATGGGTAGCAAATTATTATTTATAACAGTACCACCCAAATTTTGGGGAGTAGGAACACTTTTTTTATAGAAATTCCCTTTTTTGGTTTTCAGCATGTTTTTCGACCGTATTTGCTCATTACGTACAGTATGAATGGTCCCTATTTTACATGTAATCAAAATAAATCAATTACAATTAATACGAAATATTTAAATATAATATTTTTTATTACTTTTATTTTAACTAAAATATAAATTTTGTGTACTTAAACTAAGCTTGACTTCTTGCTGCCTTACGTTCATAATAACGCTGAACAGCGGCATCAAAAACTTCACCCACAGTACGCTTCTTCCAGATTTCCGTTTTGTCACGTTTTGGTTTGGGCGGTGGTGTTGGTGTTTCATTTTCTTCCTCAATATCCACCGAGGGAACTGGTAATTTTACGGGTATCTCTTCCTTGTTATCATCGGGTTTTATTTTAGATTCTGTTATTGTATTTTCCGTTTTATCCCTTTTCAAAGAATCTAAATTAAGAGCAATTTTGCTAGAATCTATCTTTGTTGCAGGTTCTGTGGTGTTCTTATTTGATTCCTTCGATTTCGATTTCGTTTTCTTCTTCTTTTTGTTTGGAGATTTGTTTTCATCGTTGTTATCACTGTCTTCCGCTGAAGAGGAGGATGATGAATCATCTATACTAAAATCAGAATCAGCATCTATGTTATTGGTTAAATGTTGTTTTTTATCCGCCGCCACATCAGAGAGAGTTGTGTCCTTGGTGGCCTCTTCTTCTTCCTCATTGGATGAACGGCGTTTACGATAGGCTCGTTGTTGTGAAGGTTTGCCAGATTTAATGGGTTTATATGCTACCTCCTCGCTCTCATCATCACCCACACCGGATGTTGTGAATTCGGGTCTTAATTCAGGTTTTATTACCTCTTTAGTTGTACCCATTTTTTGTTCATAGAGATGACGATAGAACCCATCAAGATCTCTTTGTTTTCGAACATCCCCAATAGCTTCCAAATAGTCATCACGTTTGTTTTGTTCTTCCAATTTACGCATTTCCTCGAGTTTTTTACGATACGAGGAGGTGACAAAGGCTTCTTTGTCCTTGAATTGTTCTCCTTCTGCTTCACGTTCTTTTTGCACTTGCCTTTCGACACGCAGCTCATTTTCCAATTTTCTCCTTTCGGCCGTTTCCAATAGTTTCGTTATGTATTTTGGCTTTTTGGGTTCATTGGTTTTGACCTTCTTTTCTTCGTCACGCTTATTTTCAATCTCATCGTATACCTCGTCATATTGAAAGATGGTGGGATCTTCAGCCAATGCCTGGGCCTGAAGATTTTTGGCCCGCCGCCTTTCCATCATACTGGGTCCCAATGCGGGCTTCTTCATTTGCATTTGTGGTGGTCCATCGTCATCGGAGGCACTACTGCTTTCATCGAAAATTGAAGGTTTGGAAACCTCACGCTGAGCTGTGGGAGGGGCCTTCTTTTGTTGGCCCGGTATAATGAGACCATATCTGATTGTAAGGGTATAAAAATTAGTATTTATGAATACGAAATATTTATATTTTTTACTTACTGTTTTGACATTTTTTTCTTTTATTTACCTGTTCGTGTTGCCATATGTTTCGATTGATAATTTTGGTGGCAATGTTATGCGGGAATACTAACTATGTACAGCCCTGGGGATTTCGCTTGACAAGATACGAACGCAGAGCGTAAACTAAGGCGTAAAAATGTATATTTTTAAAATTTAAAATTAATTTTTAGCATATTTAACAATATTTAGTTCATATATCCTCAAATAATTTATTAGTTTATGATTTTTCTTTATTAAAAATCACTTGTATTTTCAAAAGCCCTGATTACCGCATTATATCCCCTATGACGCCGTTACAATCATTGACGCCATCGCCGTGCGTATTCATTTAGTTTATACGCTTGGCCGTTTTTGATACCCCTTTTGAGCAACACTGTGCAAAATGGCGCTCCGATGCAAAAGCGAGCAGGAAAAAAATGCTTTATTTTTCAGACGGCTGCCACAACCTGCTGCGAGCGTTTGATGAAAATTCTGTGAAAAGGCCGGAAAAGCTTAAGAAAACTAACGGAAAACATAACAAAAGTAAGCTTTAGACCACTAACCATGCATTTCCAATAACAGTTCGCCAAAATTCGTGAAATTTTTGCGTAAAAATTGAATGCAAAAATTTCTTTGTTCAGTTTGTGAAATTCACTCACATATCGTTAACGACGAGACGCAACGAATTGAAAAACGATCAGAACCGAAGACACAGAAAATCGCATACAGTTGAAGAGAAATAGCCAGAAAGTAAGGCAGCAGGCAGGCGGGCAGCCAACTAGCGGAGTCTTAAGCTAGAGGTTAGCCACTGAAGCAACAGCAAGGGAAAGTTGTGTGCTGCAGGGGGCTCTAACTACACTCCAAGAAAAAAAAAACAATTTTTTTTTTTTTTTTGTTAATGATATAATTTAAAAAAAACACAAAATGTCTACAAACGACTCAAAGGCGCCTTTGCGCCAGGTGAAACGTGTGCAGTTTGGCATCCTATCACCCGATGAAATTGTAAGTTTTATAAAAAAAATTAAAATGGGAATCGTTATAACCAAGTATTGTGTTATTACAGCGTCGTATGTCTGTGACAGAGGGTGGCGTCCAATTTGCCGAAACCATGGAAGGCGGTCGTCCCAAACTGGGCGGTCTCATGGATCCCCGTCAGGGTGTTATCGATCGTACATCACGCTGCCAGACCTGTGCTGGCAACATGACAGAATGCCCTGGCCATTTTGGCCACATAGATTTGGCTAAACCTGTTTTTCACATTGGCTTTATAACAAAAACCATCAAAATTTTACGATGTGTTTGCTTTTATTGTTCCAAAATGTTGGTATCACCCTCAAATCCCAAAATTAAAGAAGTCGTCTTGAAAACCAAAGGACAGCCACGTAAACGTCTGGCGTATGTCTATGACTTGTGTAAGGGCAAGAAAATTTGCGAAGGTGGTGAGGATATGGATATGACAAAGGATGGCCAACCGGCTGATCCCAATAAGAAACCTGGACACGGTGGTTGTGGTCATTATCAGCCATCATTGCGTAGAACTGGTTTGGATTTGACTGCTGAATGGAAACATGTTAATGAGGATTCACAGGTGAGTTGGAAAATAAAGAAATGAAATACTATGGTAACATGTTTTTAGTATAATAATATGCAATTGTAAAAGTCGGAATTTTTAAATTATATATTTTTCAGGCGAAACAAAAAGCAATGTATTAGTTTACAGTTTGAAAGCAGATTAGAACAAAATGTTCAAATATAAAACCTGCAGTATTTTAATACCTTACTCAGGGTTTACACATGCAACTTTTGTAAGCAACTCTGCTGAGTTCTTAGAAAGAGAGTGGTACAAAAAGTGACAAGGGGAAGCAATTCATAAGAAAATCGTACAGAACTGCAGCGGCGTTGCTGAGAAATGTTGCATGTGTAAACAAAGACTTTGTAGATATTAGATCAAACAGGTTCGAAATCCTGCTTGGTTCTAAAAATCACAACCTCTACATTCGTACCGAAACTTTCCCATCTATGTTATTGAATATACAGTAGGCCCCTACCAAAAAATCTACTTAATTTCCTTTAAGTCTCTGTCTACATTAGAATAATTTTATGAAACCAATTACATGAAATTAAGCGTTCTTAGGTCGAGTTCCCCACTTATAATTTCATGCTATTTATTACTACTCCATTAAAATGTTATCAGGATTCTGTCAACATTCCAATCTATAAAAAATATGATACAGAATTTCACAACCTGCTACGTAGCTTATATTATGAAGTAACCGAATCTTTATTAAACACGTAATTTTTTTTGTAATTTTTTTATTTCTACTTGTAGAATATGGTTGATAATTTAACTATGTTTAGAGCTAGCTCAGTGCGTTACATTGTAATGCAGCGAAAAAGAACAGATAGGTCACGTACAAGCCTATATGATTATTGTCAAAGGTCGAAGACGACATGTGCAATGCCACGTATACAGTTTTAAAGATGATTAGGTTTTATTGAATATGTGGAAACGTTTGAAAATTCAGATCCCTCATTTTTTGGGCACAAAATTTTTTTATTCATCGAAATCGGCAAAATGTCAAATTAGATACAAATCCGTTCATAAATTCGTTGAATCGGTTGGAATTTTTAGAGTAACTCGCCTGCAAAAACTGAACAGTTCTTCACAATTTGTAGCATGGAGGTTTCCTAGAGAAGCCTCTCCCAATATGGGGACTGATCGTGACAATTTTTTGTACAGAGGTTCTCTATTCATCAATATAATCGCAAATGACAATTTACATCAAAATCCGGTCATAAATGTGGACAAAATTCGAAATTCGTCATGTCGTACGGTATCTCTAAAGGGAACTTCTTCCAAAAACTGAACAAATCTTCATAATTTGTAGAATGGAGATTCCCAACCGGCTAAGAACCACTAATGTCAAAAATATGAAATATTGACCGATCGTGATCATTTTCAGGCTTAAAGGTGCCCACCAATAATGAATGAAACCTATATACAAAAATACAACCTTGGTTAAAATCTTCGGAATTCATTAAATCGAATGATACCTGTAAAGGAACCATCTTCAAAAAAGTGACCGATTTTGATAATTTTTTGCATGGATTTTCCCTACTAGTTATTAATCCTTTGTTCAAATTATAGCTAAATCCGTTCATTAACATTTCTAAAATTTCGAAATATGTGAAATCTGAAGGTATCTCTAGAGGAACCCTCTTTAAAAAGTGAGAGATTTTTTTGCATGGAGTTATTTTAGCCATTTTGAATTCAGAAAATATATAAAATTTCATCAAAATCGATTCAAATTTGAGCCTAATATCCTCAAAATTTGAAATATCTGAAGGTACCTTTAAAGGGATTATCTTTAAAAAGTTATCAGATATTAACTATTTTTTGCTAGGAGCAGTCCTACCTCTGGGTTTATTTATCAAATCAAAAAGAGAATTTGGGAAGGGGTTGGAAACATAGAATGTCGTTCTAATTGGGAATCTTATGGAGTACTTTGGTGTTTTCACAAGTAGTGTACTCACTACAATCGCCGGCTTGTGAAAAATCGTTGGCGATCTAAAATAAAAAATAAGTTTGACAAAAACTAGAAAATAATTATAATTGTTAATACGATGGAGTGGATCATAATGGTAGTGAGAAAAACGTTGGCTATCCAAAATAAAAAATAAGTTAGACAAAAACTGGAAAATAATTCTAGTTGTTAATTATATTGACCTAAATGTTCGGACTCAAGAAAATAGTTCTTAGTATCACCCTTTCTCTGTAAAAGATGCAAAGATTCTTAATCCAAATCAATCCAAATAATATTAAAAAGTATTTAGTTTTATTTCTTTTGTTTTATTTAAAATATTTTTTTTTACTTTGTGGAATTTTTCAGGAGAAAAAAATTCAAGTCACCGCTGAGCGAGTATGGGAAATTTTAAAACACATTACCGACGAAGAATGCTTTGTTATGGGCATGGATCCAAAATATGCACGTCCCGATTGGATGATTATCACTGTACTGCCCGTGCCACCATTAGCTGTACGTCCTGCTGTTGTTATGTTCGGCGCCGCTAAGAATCAGGACGATTTAACGCACAAACTTTCCGATATTATCAAGGCGAATAATGAATTGCGTAAAAACGAGGCCAGTGGTGCCGCGGCACACGTTATTTTGGAAAATATCAAAATGTTACAATTTCATGTGGCAACACTGGTCGACAACGATATGCCTGGTATGCCTAGGGCTATGCAAAAATCCGGTAAACCATTGAAGGCCATTAAATCCCGCTTGAAGGGTAAGGAAGGACGTATTCGTGGTAATTTGATGGGTAAGCGTGTAGATTTCTCAGCACGTACTGTCATTACGCCCGATCCAAATTTACGTATCGATCAAGTCGGTGTACCACGTTCCATTGCTCAAAATTTAACTTTCCCCGAATTGGTTACACCATTCAATATTGATCGTATGCAGGAATTGGTACGACGTGGCAACTCACAATATCCCGGTGCCAAGTACATTGTACGAGACAATGGTGAACGTATCGATTTACGTTTCCACCCGAAACCATCCGATTTACATTTGCAATGTGGCTATAAAGTGGAACGGCATTTACGTGATGATGATTTGGTTATTTTCAATCGTCAGCCCACGCTACACAAAATGAGTATGATGGGTCATCGTGTCAAAGTGCTGCCATGGTCAACATTCCGTATGAACCTGTCCTGTACCTCTCCATACAATGCTGATTTTGACGGTGACGAAATGAATTTGCATGTGCCACAATCTATGGAGACCAGAGCCGAGGTGGAGAATATTCACGTAACGCCACGTCAGATTATTACACCACAGGCCAACAAACCCGTCATGGGTATTGTGCAGGACACACTGACAGCTGTACGTAAAATGACCAAACGTGATGTATTCATCACGCGCGAACAAGTCATGAACCTATTGATGTTCTTGCCCACTTGGGATGGTAAAATGCCACAGCCATGTATTCTAAAGCCCAAACCCCTGTGG